GAGGGGGGACCAGCCGAGGGGGCCCGTGCTGGCTGGGCCCGGCTGCCCAGTGGCTGTGGCAGGGTTGTTTCTTTTACTGATGATGTTGTGTCCAAATCCGTTCCCAGTGTGGACGGGGCAGAGTTCAGTGGTTCGAACCTATGGGGCGAGAGCCCTCCCCCCGCAAGTATCCTTCCTGCAGGACTCTGCAGGCTGGACCATCAGATGCAGGCACCCCCTGCTTTACGCTGCTTCGCTTAGCACTCGTTTGACATTGATACCTGAGTTCACATAGTGCTCCCCGAGTTTCACTGTAATGCTCATGGTTTCATCTTGGGTTGTCAATTACTTTCGGTCTCGCTTAACGCCATTGGTGATGCGTAGGGGTACGTGCACCCCCTGGAAGCGCCAGCCGTGAACCTGGAAATGCTGGTGGAAGCGCACTGCTGGTTTTGCTGCTGGTGGTACCAGGCTCGGCAATCGGGCCCTGTCTGCCCCCCACTCCCAAGTCAGCAGTTGGCCGCTGAGGGACCCCTCCCCTTTGTCAGTCAGGTCTCCCCCCAGACTCGGAAGGCACCAGTTGCCTATGCGTAACGCTCGTTTCGGATGATGCTCGGTTTTCCAGGAACCAGTTAAGAGCACTAAGCAGGGGTTGCCTGTACTCCCAAATGCATGGCGGGCATAGATGCATAGAAAATTTGGGTCGGAAGGGACCTCAGGAGGTCGTTTAGTGTAACCTCTGCTCAAAGCAGGACCATCCCCAACTAGGTCATCCTAGCCAAAGCTTTGTCTAGCCAGGTTTTAAAAACATCAAGGATGGAGATTCCACCACCCTTCTGGGTAACCTGTTCCAGTATTTTACTACCCTTCTAGTGAGAAAGTTTTTCCTAATATCTAACCTAAACTTCCCTTGCTGAATCATCAGACTATTGCTCCTTGTTCTGTCATCTGCCACCACTGAGAACAGTCTAGCTCCATCCTCTCTAGATCCCCCCCACCCCTTCTGGTAGTTGAAGGCTGCTATTAAATTCCTCCCTCAGTCTTCTCTTCTGCAGACTAAATAGGCCAGTTCCCTGCATGCAAGTCCAGAGGCCTTGGAGTCCAGATGCCCCCCAGCCTTGCTTGCCCCAATCAAAAGGCCAAAGGAGACAGCTAGAGGGAAGGCCTGAGAGCAATCTAATCTCCCATGGCCATAAATTGTGTAGCTGAGATCCTTGCACCTGGAGGCATTTGTGGACTGTCTCGGGGGTCAGCCTGTCTGCAGTGCAAGGGACCAGCTGAGTCATTCAAGACCAAGAAGATCATGGAATGCCAAGCCTGTGAAACTTGTGTGTGCAGCTGAGGGGAGGAAGTTGACTGCGTTTCAAGGGGGCATTTAACACTATCAACAGTCTTATATAGAGTTTAGATTCTGGATTGGATAGGAATGATCCAGCCTTAGGCAGGGGCTTGTGCTAAATGACCTCCTTAGGTCCCTTCCAGCCCTGCTTCTCTATGATTGTATGAACCTGGGGCATTCACACAGCTGTCTTGGAAGCGGGGTAGCTGCCAAGCTGGTTATTCTCCTGGCTCCAGGAAGGATGCTCTTTGCAGCCTAGTAGGAGAAGCAGAGAATTGGCTCTCCTTCCGTGAGGCATTGGTTAGGTGGGGATTTGCACTTCCCTGCTGGCAGTGCTGTAGCAAAGAGAGAGTGAGCAGGGAGACCGCCCTGGGCGCCGAAGCAAAGGGGCACCAACAGGCGCTGCCCAGCCAGGGCAGGACATGGGACGGAGCCATGAGCAGCTCATTTGAGGGGGTGTGGCGATGGGGAACCGACATCTCCTGCCGCTGCGTGCACTGCTGGGCAAGCATAGTGGGGGGGTGCTCCCCGGATCTGTGCACAGGGCAAAGGCGGGCTGGCTCTGTGGGATTTGCCCAGAGCACTAAACTTCGTTGCTACAGCACTATCTGCTGACATGGCAAACAGCTTAGGATCATAGAAAAGTTGAGTTGGAACGGTCTTTGCAGGGTCATCCAGTCCAAACCCCTGCTCAAGAAAGGGTAATCCCACCCTGAGTAAACCATCCCAGCCTGCTATCTGTCCAGTTTGGTCTTGAAAATTTCCCAGGATGGAGATTCCATAGCTTCTCTAGGTAGCCTGTTCCAATGCTTGGCAACCCTCATCATCAGAAACTTCTTAATCTCCAACCTAAACTTTTTCTGCTATAGCTTGAGGCCCTTGCTCCTAGTCCTGTCCCCTTCAGTCACAGACAAAAGCCATCTCCATCCTCTCTGTAATTGCCCTTAGCACTCACAGATGTAAGCTGGGGCCATGGGCAAATGTACAATTTGGAAAAGAGGAGGTGTAGGTGGCGAGGTGCCTCATTACATATGAAACTACACGTTTTTCTCTAGTTAAAAATGAACTAGAGGCTTTATTAACAGGCTAGAAGCCTAGGTCAGTGTTATCCAATTTAAAATTGAAACAAAAACAAACTTCATTGGAATGAGCTAAAAAATGATCTGCAGGGCTGTGAAATAGGAGCTTCAGTATCAGGAGCAGCGAACAGACAGCAAAATTGCAGAACAAAGGCTTAGCTTTACTGGTGGCACATCAAGCCCCTTAAAAAGAAGAGAGGGTCCTTGACACCTGTGGAATGAAGAGTTTATGAAGGGATCAGGTAGATGATAAGGAGCCATGAAGTCAATTGAGTTCTTCAGCACTACTTCACTATAAATGCTGCTGCCACTGCCAGACAGTTGCTTTTAAATTTTGGGTGGAGCAGGAATCAAAGCAGAGTGTGAGTGTTATCATGCACCCTTCCCCTCCCCTGATCCACCTTTGACTGGAGCCCACTCTTTCTTCCTTTCTTTCACTCCTCCATCATTTGGACCATATCTTCCCATGTTTTCCACCTTAAGGGAATCTCTCAGTGGCTCTTTCTTTTATCATACCAGGTTCAAACTTCTTGTCATTAGTTTTAAAAGCCCTGGACAATTTTTTTCCTGCCATGCTTATCCAACCTCCAGCTTCCTTTAATTTACCATCACTTTCCTACTCAGCCACTGATGCCCCCCACTCTTGCTGTCCTTTGTTTTATCAGGGTTGGGGACTCTAGGTCCTTTACTGCATTTCAAAACTTACTATTAGAATAGCCATTGGACTAGAAATAAGGCACAAATTTCTTGCTAGGATAGTAATTGCCTATTGGAAAATTTAATTTGAGATGTAATGAATTCTCTCATACTTGAAATCCTTAAATCAAGACTGTGTGGTATTTCAAATGGTTCACTGTTGCTCAGCAAGGTCTTACCTTGCAGGCATCACTTGGTGAAATGCTGTGTCCTTGGTATAATGCAGGATCTCAGACTAGGTAAACCCTTCTGGTCTTAAATTACATGAATCTACAAGACAGACAAGGTTCTTTGGGTAGATGTGATAGCTTTTATTAGACCAACTAATAGTTGGAAAAAATGTTCTTTGCAAGCTTTCAGGCACAAACACCCTTCTTCAGGCACATAGAGAGTCTGCTGGTGAACTGTGTGCTCTCCTGGGTAGAATAGAAGCCAAAATGCAAAATGCAGTTCTGTGAAAATGCAAATGCAAGACTTCTACCCCTAAGATCCCCACTGCCATATATTTGCATTTTCACAGACCTGCATTTTGCCAAAGAACGTTGCCTGCCTATGTCCTTAGACCAACATGGCTACAACCAACAAGCCTAAAGCATAAATCTATAAATCAAAGAAAACACCCCTGGTCCACAGGGCTTACTAGTGAGTATAACACAAGAGATATAATATAGGTAATGTTGAAGTGATGTTGTAGTAGTGCTACTCCAGGAAAATAAGCAAGAGGGAAGAATTTTTTGTGGGTAATAGCTTTTATTGTAGTCGGTCTATGTGGCAGTGCACTTTTGGTGCACTTTTGGATGTTAGAAGAAAAATCAAGACACGTGACGATGAGGGTCTAGCTAAGAGATGTATCTGCATGGATGGAGATATGCACTTTGTCCTCTATATCTCTAAAGTGGCAGCATTTGGACAAATCCTGAATGCATGGGACCTAGGAAGAAAGGGCTTTATTTTTGTGCTTCCTTCCATGCTGCCATCTATTAATGAAACAAGCTTTGGAACAGCCTACCTAAGGTAGACAAAACCCTTACCCTGATAGTATTCAGGTTCCTTTTGAAGACCCAGTGCTGTGATGATACCAAGAGAAATTAGCTTACTGATAATGGAAGGAGTGAGGACTAATTGGTCAGTTAAAGTGCTCGATTAAAAGGAAAATGTGTGTGTTGTAGAACCTTATCACCAGATCCCATCCCATCCACCTGGATCACTCCATTCTACTCGTATTTTTGCCTCATCCTCTTACCTTTTCTCTCTCTTTCATAATCTTTTTGTCTGAATGTGAATTCCCATGGTTACAGATTGAATCCACTTCCCATTAGGAAAGTACCTTTGGTATGGTGGGTGCCATATGCCCAAAAAAATCTGAATTTTCTTCTTCCTTACTTTAAGACAAAGGATTTGACAGGTACTCTAGAAACATCAAGTTTCAGAAACTAGAAAAGGAAACAGTTTGGTCATTTCAAATAACTTACCTTATTTCTAAACTCCTATTCTGTTGGCAAAGGTAAATGACAGTAGACAATGATCTGCCTCTTTATACTTCATAGTTCCAATTTTTTTTAACTTCTTTGTTAGTAGACACATCTCACTTGCTCATTCAAAGATATCTCAGATTTATGGTTAGTAGTGTTGCTAATTCTTACTTGTTTGAATTAGGGAAGGGCAAGTATTATTCTTTTTAAGGGAAGTAGCTGTAAAACTG